GCATAAATAAGCGATTTCAAGCCTGCTCGCTCACCTTATTCGCTCCAAAAATCAAAAAGTTTGAACGGGTTTTTCTCGCCGCTGAATCACGCGCTTTAATATGGTATATCACTCGACACATCTCAATCATTATTTGCGGTACCTGATTTTGCGTGGAAAACAAAAAAAAAGAAAAAAATAGCCGAATACAAAGTTACTCCCATTTTCAATGGTCGGAACAACAAGATCCAGGACAGCGTCCTTGACAAAAATCATGTTCCGCAAAATCAGAGAAGTTGAAAACGCAATTCAAGCCGCTAAATATTTACCACATCTATGCATTCCCACGACTTGATGCCACAAACATAGCAAGCAGCGGTAAATGCGGTCTTTATAGAATCCTTATGAGCTAATTTTAACCAAAATCTGCAATGAAAAGCGCTAGTTACAGTAGGAAGTGCTTGTATGATTGCTTTTAAAAAATTAAACAAAGAATTATCATGAAAATTTAGGAAAGGAGTTATATCAACTTCAAACAGCCTAATTTTGAGAATGTTTATGATGCAGTTTTTATTTGTTCACAAGAATTTTTAATATTTACCTCTGGATTTACAAAAAAATAAATCCAGCTGAAAACATCAATCCCCCAGTTAACTCATCAAAACATGTTTTCTTATTCTACAAGAATCTGTCTGGAGCTTCAAAAAATCTAATAAAATTATAAAATTATACAAAGGAAAAAGCAGTAAATTCTTTTTTTTCAGCTGGTCCAAATGGGAGGAACCTCAAATTCAGATAGCCATCTGAAGAACTTGAGGTAACTAAAAATTTCGATTAGTTCAGAAAAAAAAACAGATTATAACACAGAGGCGAAGCTGAGCTTCGTACCATTAGCGATACAACAAGTATATGAGCTTCGTACCATTAGCGATACAACAAGTATATGAGCTTCGTACCATTAGCAATACAACAAGTATATGACTAAAACAATATGACGGTGAAGCTGTTTTTTTTTTCATGATTAAATTTTTTTCCAGACAATCTTGATGGGTAGATTTTGAGCATTCGAATAAATGGAGCCAGAGTCTTAATAATCTTTTGAAAAAACGAAAATTCCTAAAAAACAAAATATAAGATAGAAAAGCCGACAAACAATTAAAATTAAACCTGGCAACCAATAAGCACAAAATTAACCAAAAAGTACTGCTTATATGTTGTCCATGAGTGCTTCATACATAGCTAATGCAATACCCAAGTTGGCAACTAAGCCGACGTGTATCAATTTGTCTGGAAAATGTATCAAATTATCTGCACTCAAAAGCATTTCTAACAAAAAATAACATGCCAAATAAGACAGTTGAACGTTTGAAATGCATCGGAACCAAACTTACGCAGCGGTAACAACCCAACAAGGCAAATTGCGAGAAGACTAAGCAAATGCGTAATAAATCCAAGCTCATAAAATGACAGTTAAAAAATGATGAAAAGTTATGTGAAAATTGTATTAAAAATTTTTCACAAAAACGCTAAGAAAATTTCGAAAATTTTTAAAACTCAATTACTCCTACTAATCGCCTTCAAAATTTTAGGAAAAAGCTGAGCCTTTAAAAAGAGTCCGTGCAAGGCGATCTAAGCGGATAAATAAGGAGGCGGGCGATTGCGGATGAAAAACTGAGGCGGACGAAAAAAGGCGGAGTAAAAAAGAAAAAGGACATGTTTTTAACGTTTTGCTTGGTATAGCATTAGGAAACAATGCCAAACTAAAAAATGTTGATGATTACAAATGACTTAAGACAAAAAGCGGGTAAATGCGAATTAACAAGAAAGCATTAAAAAAAACTGAAGCAAAAAAAAAACGTTTTGAAGTCAATTCAGAAGCTTTAGGTAAATTAGGTAAAGATTCAAGATACTGATCCTTTCAATTCCAGTTTTAGCCAATCGTTCAGCCCAAAATCACAAAAGTTTGAACCAATTTTGTTACTTGAATTGAGAAAAAACAGAAATAAAAAAAATTAAAACTTCCAAAATATTTTGAACTTTTTTGTTTATTTTTTGTAACCTTCATTTAGAAAGTCTAGGAGGTTGATCGAAAATCCAATCATTCAGATATAATTCCAATGAGAGTAATTCGAAAAAAATCATTAGGAAATTAATCCGAAAGAGTTGAAGTCGACCGATCTCTGCCTAAAATGTACCAAAAATTTGGAATCCTACTTAAACTCATTTGCAATTAGTAAGGTAACAAAAGTAAATGCCGTGTCGTAAACGCGTGGAGCTAATACAGTTACCATAAGCAACCATGCACATTTTACTATTTGACCATTGTGCCCAAAGCTATTCACGGGAAAAAGTCTAGTACCCGATTGCAGTACCCTTGCTGTTCGCAAAGGTAAGAACCATAACCAACAGACAGGTGAAACTAAAATTTCAAGATTCTTTTACGGTGAACTTTTTCCTTAGAGCAAAACTTATTAATGAAAATTCATCAAATGGCATTTTTCCCCGGGAAAATCTAAGAAAACGAAGTCCAATTTGTTAAAAGTAATCAATCCTTTTTAAGCTCCATGTACTCCTTCATTAATCAAGAGCGAAAATTGCCTTCTTGTAGCAAAGGAAATTGAGTTGGACTGAAAAAGAAATCAAAACTCTAGCGTCAAAGATTAGATGATAAAATGAAGAAACAGTCAACAGACAGACGTTGGAAAAATAAAAAAGGAGCTTGAAAAAAAATCGATTGGAAATTTTTGATTAGTTTTCAGCTTTCAAATTTCGAAAAAAAAACTATAAAACTTTAAAGCTCTTTCATACACAAAAATTGTTTATGATTGACACTTTTTTATTGAAATAACCCATTCAGAGAAAACTGGAACACTTAATAATTTTTTTTCATCTGTTAAATTTCAAATTTAAAATCCACTTTCGAAACTAGATGTCGTTCACGTTTTTTGTGACCTATACATTTTGGTAAGTGAAGAACTGAACTGAACTTAAGCATGAAGTAACTTAAGCTGAAGTAAATTATAAAACCAAAACGCGAAAAATCGAATTGAGCGTGAGCAAACAAAGTCTTTTCCCGGAGAAAGCAAAACATAGCGAACAGAAAATTAGAGAACAGTCAATTAACAGAAAGAAATACAAAAAAAAACAAAATGGCCTTCAAAACTCTTTCAAATTTGAGAAAAATTTAAGATAACCACTTTTGAAGTAAAATTAACCCAATTTGAGCAATCTGGAGTGTTACGTAGTTTTTATTCCGCTGGCAAATGTAAAAATTAAATCTACTTTGAAAACTAGAAATTGATCACGTTTTTTAACGCAATTTCCACTATCGTAATTGGAAATCGAATTTTGCCGTTCTTTTTGTAAATGAGCTTGAATTGAACTAAAAAAGGACATATAGCTAAGGGCATTCAAAAATGCATTATATGTATAAATGCACTTCTGTAGTTATTAAAGCGTTTTCACTTTTCCTGAAAAAATATAACAACTTATATGAGAGTATGAACAGAGTTGATGATGGTTTTTTATTTTCAAATTGATGGAATTTATTTTTTTCATGTTTCGACTTTCGTTGTCTCATTTTTTTCCATAAAAAATGATGGAAATAATTTTTTTTTTCATTTCGAATTGCGGATCCAATACTTAATCAGAATAAAGCTTTCTGAATTTCCACAAAGTGGCGCAAAAACACAAACATTGCAGCTAGCGGAAAAAATAGAAACCACTAACTCAACTGAAAAAAAAAACAATTGGAACAATTGGAAAAAAAACCACTAACTCAACTGAAAAAAAAACAATTGGAAAAAAAACAATTGGAAAAAAAACAATTGGAAAAACAATTGGAAAAAAAAAAAACAATTGGAAAACAATTGGAAAACAATTGGAAAATGCGGATCCAATACTTAATCAGAATAAAGCTTTCTGAATTTCCACAAAGTGGCGCAAAAACACAAACATTGCAGCTAGCGGAAAAAATAGAAACCACTAACTCAACTGAAAAAAAAAAAACAATTGGAACAATTGGAACGTCTGGAAAGATGTTCAATTTGAGCAAACAGCAATGCCAAGAATGCAATCGACAGCATTTAAAAGATAATTTTTGGAAATTTACCGGCAACTAAGCACACCATGTTTGGGTAGACGCCAATTCACCCGGAAACAATATTGTTGTTTCTGAGCTAAAAGGTTTTGAAACTTGAATATTTTTACGAACCCAGCCACCCCCTCCTTGGTCACCAGCAATAAATAAGGATTCAGAAAATTTCAAAAAACAGCAAGTTCGACTAACAGAAAAACCAAGGGCAAATGAACAAAAAACAATTGGGAAACGCCAGTTGGACGAAAAAAAGTCATAATTTTAGCTATAAATGTTGAAAATCGAAACACATAGACCCCCTTTTACACTCCCCAGTCTGGGTACACACAAAAGGATAAAGCACACTTTTTAACACTGTAATTTTAGATGATTAAAACGATATAATGGAGCTCGAACACAATGGAGCCGAAAGATCTTCTCAGTGAAAAAAAAACGACAAAATAATTAAAATAGAAATTGTATACAAGCCAGGTTGATAACTTACAAATTACAAAAAAAATTAGTATTTTAAAAATAACACGAGTTACCTAAACTACAAAAAAACTGTCAATATGGCAATTCAACCAACAAAAAATAATCAGAAGAGCAGAAAATTTTTGGTAGAGGAAAAATTTATTGAGTTTGCAAACAGAAACGGGTCATGGTTCAATTTAAACTCAGCACTTTTGCGGCGAAAAAACGTTCAACAATTCACTAAACTGTCATGTTTTTCACAGATATTCAAAATGTGAACCCTAATTGGCTAATTAAACGTCTGTTATTCGGAAATTATGATATGAGATATTCTCCTAGTTATTAAGCACAAAATACGAATCAAAAACATGCATTTCACAAGCGTCTTTGTGCGAAACAAGTCAATTCTCAAGAATTTTCAAGAATCAACCTCGGCTGAAGAGATTCAGTAATCGCTAATGGAAACGTTTACCTGTCTATGGGTGTGAGTTTGTGCCACTGTCCTGGATCTTCCATTGGGGTGGAGGCATTACTGCTGTGGGACTAAACAACATCTCAATATTCACAGCATCCAAAACTTATACTGACCTGATCACATCATATCAGGGATTCGCAGGTTCAAATCTCATTAAAAATCACTGAATGAATCTTTTGATGAACCGACAGTTTAAATAATATAGCTGCCTGAATAAGGCTTCAGTTCAGCTTAAATCAAATTTCAAGAACAAAAAATTCGAAGAAGGATTCTAGTTTCAAATCCAAGTTTTAAATTGTTATCTCTAAGTAATCGGTTGGGCTTTATTCAAAACATACACTCTTTTAAATAATACATGCTATATAATATTTTTGTGATACCTATTTCTAATGCACAGTGCATTATAGCTAGCATCATTTGCTAAAAAATTTTGTACCGAGACACTTATTTTGCTAGCATTTAATTTGTTTTCTTTCAAAAGCATTCGATTATATAAGCATTTGGTATATCTAAAATTTGATATATAATAGCATTTGACTTACAGTTTCTCCACTTGAATCTAAAACAAAAAATTAGAATATCCTCATCTTATTATTATGACATCCAAGAGGTGAGGAAGGAAATATGGTGCGGTGTCTCTTTTTTTTTCTTTCCAGTTGAATTGTGATTACCTCCCAGAAAGCTCATAGGGGGTGAAAGTGGTATCATATTAAAATTATTTCAGCTGAGATAATTTTTTTCGAATTTTGAACTTTACCGTCAATCAGAGTGGTGGGAACATTCAGTGCGAAGTGCACAGGAACTGGCTATCTTAATAGTTATTTTTTTAGTTCAATGGTTGTCTTAATATTTTAAAAGCGAGAAAACGTATAGTTCCAGATTGCAAGTACACTTGCTCTCACAAGTGAATTCACTTAAATTATATCCGCCAAAAGTGACCACTAAACCGAATCTTAAGAGTGTAATGAATGACATATTCTCTGCTCACTCGTGGGGAATTTAAAAGCTGTTCTGAGCACTTCTTTGAAGAGGGCTTCTGCCTCGTTGAATTTGTTCTGCTTCACATACGCGGCAGCCTAAAATGTAACACGGATAAAAAACTATGTTGTCCATCGAAGTAATTTGCTCAGGGGAAGATCATTTAAAAACATTACACGACTAAAGTTGACAATTTTTTAATATAAGCTTACGCAACGCTAATATTCAATCAAAAAAAGGTAAATAATCTTCGCTCAGACGACCTGTAATTTGGAGACTCCTTTACCCATAATCATCGCCATTACGATTTTAAAGACCTACTTTCATTTTTTTTCTAACAAAAACATCAACGCCTCTTTAATACTTCAACTTTTTACTCATATCATCACACAATCAAAGGAAACAGTAATAAAAACTCCTTGCGAAACTGGTTGATTTTGTTCGAATAGACCTTAATAGTTTCATGAGACTAAGTTATCACACAAACACTGAAATATTTTTCATCGTTTTCTAACAACTTAGTAATTGGACGAAGATGACTCACAAGGTTGTTTTTCGTTTTCGCCACATTAGTATCGTCGGCTCCCAATCTCTCCTCATAGATCTGTTGGGCACGTTTGTAGTAGGCCTCAACCTAAAGCACACATAATTGATGAAAGCCAAAAACATGGCCAAAATACGTTTGGAAAAGTGTCAACGAACTCACCGAAACAAAAAAAAACTCACTCAATTTTTTAAAATAAATTAATCATGGATCAAAGGAAAATATATGAACTTCAACATCGTTGAATTTCGAGAGCAATTAATTTTTGACCTTTTCCATAAAACTAGGCCAATCAAAATAAACTGGATCAATAGGTAATGCTTTTTTAATTATGATGACAATTCTTATAAAGAGGAGGCGAATTTAAAAATTATCCACTTTCAAAACTAGAAAACGCTCACTTCTTTTTGCGCCATTCCGCTTCCATAAAAAATTAAAATACACTCAAAATTAGAAAACGTTTACATCTTTTTGCGCCATTTCCGCTTTCATAAAGAATTTCCACTGACCTCGTCGTATTTGTTCTGGTTCTGGCAGAGGAGGGCGAGATTGTTGAGTTGTTTGGCAACATCCGGGTGGTTGGGACCCAGTGCCTTCTCTCTGATCTCCAGAGCACGCTTACACAGGGGTTCTGCATCTCTATACCTGTTAAAGGAAAAAATATACTTGAAATAAAACCACATGAAATAATAGGGATTCTCAACAATTTTTCCGTTGAAAGGAATAAAAAGCTGAGCCATTGTCACGTTCAACGGCTATCGCATTTTCTTTCAGAAAAAATCATTTTGGCACGTGATCTCTCAAGAACTCATTCACTTACTGATCAAAAACGTTTTTGTTACTTTCTTCCAAACTTCATCAGAAAGTGGTCAAAAATTTGGTGTCTTAAAATGATTTTGTTTTCAGAGCGAAACAGATAAAGCCCCGCCAGCGTTGATTCTGAAAAACCATCCATGGGTCTTTAAACTGATTTGTTATATAACAATGGAAAAACTGTTATTTGCGTACCTTCCCCTGCGCCCGAAAAGGACAGCGAGATTGTTGAGTGTGGCTGCCACAGAGGGGTGGTCTCTGCCCATCGTGGACTCTCTTATGGCCAGTGCATCCTGCAACAACTGGGAGGCCTCGCGGAATTTGCCTTGGTCTCTGAAACACTCAACCAAACATCATGTAGGGTTGGTTACACTATAAATCAAAAATATAGTGTTACGTTACATGAAAGTCATCAAGTTTTATTTTGTGAATTTGTATACTATATACAAATGAAATAAACTCGTATTCTGCTGCTTCTTCAGATCAATGCCGTTAAATTAAGATATCCACAACGTCGAAGAGTGGTTCCTGCAGCTGAGTTCTTATCGTGATTACAATCTTGAGAGAAGATTTGACTTTAAATTTTATACCATTCATAGGCAAGCTTGAGTTCTTTTCAAGTCTACCACTCCTAAAAGGGCTCTTTTCCAGTTCCCCCTTTCAAAATATCGAGTTTTGTGTTTGTTTTACGTGTTATTACGGCTATATGCGTAATGTTTCGCTGTAAACTATGAAGAACAAATCTGTTCACAGTTGTCAATTTGTTCACCACGCCAAATTTCAATGCATTATGACAACGTTAAATAAGCTTTTCAAATTTGAATTTGAAAGGGGGGAACTGGAAAAGAGCCCTAAAAAGCACCAAAAATTACCATAAAAATTCGTAATACAACAATTTACTGTTTTGAAGTTGTTCGCAAAGATGTGTTCAGAATTCTAGCACAAGACTACGTCATACTTCGCATTCAAAAGCAAAAATTTTCCGGATAAGGCTTGTGGAAACATAACCATCGTGTGCTTTCATAAATCACTTTAATTTTTGTAAGAAAACGATTTGTACTGTGCCTTCCATATGGCAAACAATGAATTAAACTTGAATTAAACTTCAAAAGATATCGAAACTCAAACTACTAAAAATAAATATGAGTTTAAACAAATTGAAGGTTTTTCCTGAAAAAAAAATCAGCACGTTAATTAAAAAAATAGAAATAGGTTGAAGGATTCTAATATTTCAGCCACAGTTGTAAAATTCGTAACAACTGACCTGTAGACGAGTGCCAAAATATTGAGCATGGTGGCCACATCCGGATGATTATGACCCAGATTTGCCTCCAGATCTTCCAGAGCCTGTTTGCAGAGAGGAATCGCCACCTAGAATTAATAAATATTCATTTCCACAATCATTTGAAAAAGACTATCTCGATTTCAGCTTTAGAACATTTTTAACTAAAGAGAGAGCACCAAAATATTCTAAAACAATTTCCCAACAACTGAATCTAATCGCAACATGAAGCAGTTTATTTTTCTAATTCCAGCTTTAACATAGGCAACTAACAGTTGGAAAAGAGTAATGAACTGACTTATGTTTAAATCTAAAACTAAATTTTAAAATTAAAAAAATTGCCCTTAAAGCAAATTTATGATGGGTGTTTTTTGATCAAAATAACCCAATTTGAGTAAACTGGATCAAAAGGCAAATTCATTATTCAGCTGAAAAACCGGAAAATTAATTTAAACTCTTGAAACTAGACGTCAATCATTTTTTTCGTGACCTTTAAACTTTTGCTGATCAATCGTTGGGCTTGCCTTCATTTAACAAAGGAAGTGACCAGAATTTGAAAAGAAACCAAAAGTCAAAAATAAAAATTAAGCGTGAACAAATTTTGAAGACTTTTTCCTGAAAAAAAATCAGAGTTTTTCAACTATTTAAGAGTACTCACTACGGTCAGAACGGGGGTTGAGAAATTAGACGATAAGCAAATTAGACGGAGGTACTTAAAAGGAAATTAGACGGTTTTGCAAAACTGCAATTGTGAGAACATAGACGAAAGTGAGAGAACTTAACTTTGTTTGCACACAAATTGCGTTAGAAAAATAAAATTGTTTGTAGACAACAGTTCAATTTCGGTGGCCAAAAACTTTACAAGTCAATCATGCATAATTTATTCAATTTAAAACTCTCCTGTAGTATTTAAATTTGACATTTTATGTTCATTTAAACGAATTGTTTTGATAGGTATTGACATTTTATGTTCTTTTTTGTATTTATGAAACTTGACTCTTAAGAAAAATTTTTGTTGGCCCTTTCCCTTTCGTCTAAAATGCCAGATCTGTAAAAAATAAATTCCGTCTAATTTCGTTTTTGTAGCATCCGTCTAATTTGCTTATCGTCTAGTTTCCTAGGCCCCGGTCAGAACTTAGAATAAAACAATTATCGTGGAAGCCAGGGGCGGATCTAGGATTTATTTTTTGGAAATTTTTAGGAACTTATTGAAAATTTTGACCAAAAAAAATCAGGTTTTTTCGGCGAGCGCTCCCCCCTCAAAATTAGTATATATTGGCCCAAGCAGGCGCCTTTAGAAAAGCTTTAGGGTCCGTCACCAAAAATGAATATCTCAAAATAGTACAAAAGGGGACCCTTTGGCCCGGCAGGGGGCCGAATCCCTGAGAGAGAGGGGAGGGGCGTCCAACCACCCCCCCTTAAATCCGCCCCTGGTGGAAGCCAAACTTTACTTTACTCTTATCGTTTGATTCAATTTTCCACTACAAATCTGACCTCGTATCTTTTCTGTCCCGCGTACTGAATGACCAGATTGTGAAGAGTACGCAATTTGGAGGGGACATCGTTGCCAGCCCCATATCCAGCATCAGCTGCCGACACCTGGTCTCCTGGCATGTCTGCAATAATAAGGACAGGCCTTTTCTTAATCATAGACTTTAATGGAACGTTTTGTCAAAAAACACGACCTCGAGAAAACAAAATTCACTTCCATTATTGACACCGATTTGTAAAATTAATTTAAAAAATCTATACCTGAGTGAAAAGTTCATATAAGCTTTTTCTTATAAACCAACTAGTTCGAGGGAATTGAAACAAAACCAAACAAAAAAGCCAACATTTCTTGACGAAATCTCGTCAAAAAGATTTTTTAACTCTCCCATTTTGTAAACAATTGCCGAAAGCAGCGAAACATTATTCTAAGCCGGCTTTCAATCAGTACTTAACAAAACCATGTGGAAAACGAAGCTATTCAGGTTTGCGGCATTAAACTTAAGCAGAAGAAACTAAGCAGAAGAAATTTACGAAACATTTTCTCATGACGTTACCTCTACGCCAATTGTGCACTTTAAAAACCAATAAATTGGATTCAAAAATGAACGAAATTGAACAAACAGCACAAGTAACTTCCTCCGATAAGATTCCTGGAATCAAATTTTGTAACCGAGAAACAAGTCAAAGTAAGTTGTAAGAACTACATTTAAACTATTGCAATACCCTTGCTCTGACAAATGTAATGCATAGTATATTCAGTTACCAACCTGATGCTGAGTCTCTGGCGTCTTCAAGATCTCCGATGTCCAGGCCAAGATCATCCTTCGCTCCTTTGCCATTCTCGGGCGAACCACTCTACGAACGCAAACAAAAAAAAACGAATTACTATGTTATGAAAGAAAATATTCCATATAAAACTCCCTGCAACAATATCATTAACCGAGATCTTTCTCGTAAATTTTGAATATCAGCCTAAAAACTCTACCTGGTCTCTAAGCTCCTGTTTTTGTTTCAATAACCCGTGAAATGAAAACTCCGAACATTTGGCAGTATTATGATACTAACATTTTTATTTACTTCTTCACTGTCTGGGTTTTCGAACTTCTTCAATGAGTTCAAAAACTCCAAATGCTGCTTTTCAACTTCTAATGCCGCTATTGCTTGATCATTCTCTTGTGATTTCTGATGTGCTGCATTTAGCTCCTCTCTCAACCATGCATTTTCTTGACATAGTCGTTTCACTTGGGCATGTAATAAACGTCTTTCACCTTCTAGTTGTTTAATGTAGGCATTGGCTTGGATCATAAACTGAAAAAATAAGTTTACCATTTCTGAATTTTGACATTAAACGAATTCAGTGAAAATCTTAATTCTTAATAAAATGCATGATAATAATATTGACCAGCGGTGTGATTCAAGCAAACTTCGATTTATGTTGTTTATACTTTTGCTTGAAATTACCAGATGGATTAATTCTTGAATAAAAACACTTTGCAATCTCCGTTTTCAATAACATCATGGGACGTCGGTCAAACTAACAACACACCTTCAAAAGGTATAAAAAATAAGCTGAAATTTAATATCATTGAGATGAGAGAGAAGGGTTAACAAATAAATTTTCAGATAAATAAGATTCAGGTATTTATTTTTTTTATAGCAGCCGTTCATATGCAAAAAGACAAAATATTTGTACTTCGTCCAAGCGCAAACTTTTCTCACATCAAAAAACTCTGGAACTAAAATCTTGAACAACTTTTAGCAGCTTTAAAACCAACCAATAAGTTTACCTTAAAGTTTTTAAAAACCAGGATGTCTACAGCTAAGCAAAGATTAAATTGCAACCTACTTTATCCAATTTATATCCAATTTTGCAAACTGATTTTTTTTGTCATTTTTAAAGCCAGGACCAGGTTTTAAAAATGACAAAAAATGACAAAAAGAGTGTTTTTCAGCCAGGACCAGGTTACAAATTAATGAACTACTTTACAAGAGTACAACTAAACATATCAATATTTCTTTTGAAAAAAGAAATATATTGTCAAGTAGATTTGAATCGAATTTGAATATCCAACTTGATAAGTTTTTTCAAGCATGATGGAATGAATCATCTTTAATAACAACGTTGTTACCTGTGCGTCGGCTAGTCCACTTTCTATTCTCTGCTTTGACAACTCAATTGCCTTGTATTTGGAATTTGTTCTAAAACAGTAAAACAAATGATGACAATAAAACCAAGGCAAACTTTCTTTTACTATTCTGTTTTTGACAAATTTCTCAATTGATCTTTTTTTTCGTCCAGTCGAAGCCAAAATCTTAACTGTGTTATAGATAACAAAGTCAGAAACCTAAAAAAAACAGCCGGCTATTCACCCCCTATGATACCTACTTATGGTTATTCATTCCTTTACAATAAAATAAAACGGTTGATCAACCGTTTTTTACATCAAAAACGGTTGATGTAAAAAACATGGCAACGAATCTCCCCGCTACCTCATTCATTCTGAAAATGGAAGACTTTAAAAATTGTGAAAAATCCAAGGCAATTTTTGCAATTACTCCCACAAAGCAGCATGTATGAGGTGATTCAAAAAATAGCTGTCGTCACTTACATTTGGAATAATTCTGGCCCAGAATTTATTTGTAGCTTACCCATCGATCATTATTATAAGTTAGTATAGCAGACAGTACTTACCCCCAAAAATTTCTTAAAATATCATAACCAATTTGTAATAAATCACTTAAAGCGTTGAAAAATTCCGTTGAAAACTACAACACAGAGGCGAAAAAACCAAATCTATCAAAATGAATCAGGCTAGTTTTAAACAAAACATCCCTGACAATCGCATGTGACAATCGCATTGAAAAAAATTCCCAAGCGGTAACAAAGCCGAAATTACCTTAGCAGAAACCCTTCAAGCCGAAAAAAAACATCAATGAGACTTAAAAAGGTAAAAATCCACCCTCAGCCTCAAAACACACACACCCACAAGATTGTTTTATTTGTCAATTGAAACAATATGCGGCCAACAAGCTGATATATTAAACGTCAAAACCTATTCAGTTAAAAAAAAACAATCGAAAAATTCAAGACACAGATGCGAAGCGGAGCTTTGCACCACTTGCGATACAACAAAAAAATGGCAGCTAGCCCAAAAAAAGGACGCAAGCTAAATCGAAAAAAAAACTAGAAAAACTATTTGAAAATTCTTTTTTTTTTCAAGATTGTCTGGAAGGCGTTTTTCTGAAATTTCTAGAACCTTGAATTTCTAAAACTGAATCAATAGGTGAACTTTTTATTTCGCTGGTGATAATTAAATGCCAATTTCGATAAAAAGAAGAGAATCACGTTTTTTGTGACCTTCACGGTTTTGCAGTACGATAGTGGATGTTTGCCTTCATATTAACAAAGGAAAAGAAGGAAACTTAAGAAGAAATCAAAAATCAAACCGCGGAAAATCAAAACGACCTATATAAGAGTCTGAACCATGTACCGACTCTTTATACGAAGAAAATTACAAAACAAACAATTACTAAATTCGAACACAGGCCAAGAAGCAATCATCTTGACCAACTTGGCTTTGCTGATTTTGACTTAATCAAGTTTGCGCGTAATTGATTCTGAGATATCAGGCAGCAAAAATCCCACAAACTCAATGACAAATATGAACTGACAAAAGTTAGGCATAGCAACGCAGTTTTTGAACTATTTGGCTTGCCTTAATCAAGTTAGAATGATTTATGAGGCGCTATTAAAATCTCGATATATTTGGACTCTGAGTCTCAGTGTTTCAACAATTTCATCGCAAAACGATTAGTTTGAGACTGAAAACTTATCAGCAAAAATCACACCACGTATAAAAATTTAGACCTTTATCGAAATTTAAAACAAAAAAGTTTCGAAATTTTTTTTCTCGTTACTAACACATGAAACTGTCTAATGTACATGTGTCCAGTAAACATCCCTCAAATTTATATGTCAACAACACGGTTTTGACAACTACCGAAGGTGATCCACTTGCAATGGCTATGTACGGAATAGGGATACATTGATATTGACATCAAGGCAAATGGACTCTGGGAATGCCGAACCTTCTTTGAAAAAAAAATTTAACCCCCCATGCTAAATCCTGTCCTAAGACTAATCTGACATCTACAAATATCATGAGAGTATCAAAACATTAAAATACCAACAAAGAATTCTGGATGTGGAACACAGCAGCTTTGCTCCACTAATTTTTGCGTGTACTGCAGGAGCAGCACCAGGCTCTACAAAAACCGTCAAGAAACAATGCAGAGAAATTAAGCGAAAAACGGAACGAATCATATTCCGACACAATAAACTTTTAAGAACCAAAATAAGTTTTGCGCTTCTGATGAGTGCAATTCTCTACCTCAGAGGGTGCAAAAACTGAAAAATACATACAAACTAAACAACTCTATCAGTGCTATAATCGATGAGGGAAGATTTTAATTGACAATTCTCTGGATGCTTTAAAATTGATTTGATTTATTCATAAAATTTTGCCGATGTATTTATATAGCGTTGGTATGGCCCTATCCAACCTGTGCGCGGACCGTCACATGACGGAAGGGCCCATTTTAATACATGAACTGTCTAATGACATGTGTCTAGTACACAAAACATCACTAACGTTAACTTTTAATTTATGTCAGTCACATTTTTACATACTATAAGAAGGTTGTCCTCACGCATTTCTCTCCTCGCACATTTGTGTGGGAATTATTCGCCCGACAATCTTTTGATTGAAGGAGAGGGGTGAGAGAGAGATTTTTCTTTAGTTATAATTTAATTATTTTTCTTTATTGGGTGGGATGGGGGGGGGGGCAGTTCACTTGGTCGATGAGGGGGAGATTTTTCATATGTACCACTATTTCTACAAAAATGATCTAAGATTTGAATTGAACTCACTCATTTTCATCCTGTTGTTTGAGTTGTTTGCTCTGCTGTAATCCATTCAACATCTGTTCATGCTGTGATCTGAGCTGCTCCAGTGAGTGCATACACCCCTTCGTACTTTTCATCTGCTCATCAAAATTAAACTGATTCTGTTGTTGTTTTGTTGAATTTGTGTTGATTTTACTCCCACTTCGATCCTTGTTAGCTTAAACACAAACATCTCTTTAGTAAGATCTTAGGCTCTTCTAATTCTATCCTAAAATTGAAAGGAAACACTTTTTGTTCACGTTGTCGCTTTTTTGTTAAAATTCATTTTTGTTCATTAGCAGTAGAAGAGCTGAATCTCTATGACTCATTTAAATTAAAAACGGCGTATGGATGTTTTTCTTCTTTTTCACGATGTTCAGGGTTGTCGGTCAAAAAAGTATCTTGTAAATAGTATCAAAATGCATACGTTTGAGGACGTCGAGGTTTCAGAGCTCGTAAGCCGCGCCTTCCTTTCCTATCATTCCTACCACCCCTCCCCCCCCCACACACACACACACAATCCACCCCTACATGTATCTCTAATTTTAGAAAGACGGGCAAAATAAATTTTGGGAGGTCTGAACTGAAGGCACTTACCCTTTTTTGCTGGTCAGAACGGCGTAAAATTCGAGCTATAATGTTGCTTTTTGAGGACAAAATATCTGCATGTACACAGGCGTCGTGTTTGCAAAAAAGACAAATTATATGCAAGCAGACCAGGCTAGTCATAATTTCATCACCCCTAATTCTAACTTCGTGCTTTTCTGTATGGATAAGCCTCGTAGACTGTATTTTGTGAAATATTTCCGTTCTTTTGATCCATTATTGCGCGATGCAGAAGGATAACTTTTACATGTAATTTGAGTTTCTATACTGGTCCAGAAGTAGAAAGAGGAAAATTATCCTTTAAAATTTCTGTTTCTGATAGAACATCAAAACAAAAGGAACTAGCCAAGTTTTCAGTCACAAAGTATATTTAGTATTACATTTAGCATCAGGCGCTCTTTTCCAGTTTCCAACCCCTCGTAAATACGTAATAAAATATTCGCTAAAATGTTCACATCGCAATTTTCATGTTTAAAAATTATCACAGATGCAAAGTGGGCTCGCTAATTACTTGCGATACAAAAATGAATAACTATGATTATAAGATGAACCAACACAAATCGAAAGAAAAAACCCAATAATTTTTTTTGCAAAAATTTAAAAAATACAAAACAAATCCAAAAAAAAACTTTTATTACCATTACTGGAATAGATATGATTAATTTAATACTATTAAGATCATCAATAACTAAGGAGGCAAGTGCTTAGAAATTCAGTTTCTCCCGTTGTATGTCCTTTCCGAGATCTTTTCGATAAAGTTTTGATTTATGAATCCAATTTGTAATATTTTTCTGCTTGGACAAATTTTTTCTTGTCTTTTTTTATTTCGTTCTTTGTTGTTTTCAAGTTTTTACTATGCGAGCTAAATTTTTTACGGAGAACAAAATCCAATCCGGGTTGCAAGACCCTTGCTTATCTCAGAAGATGCAGAAACTCCGAACGAGAACAAGTGATCGTGTGACCATCAGTTCAACCATTGCGCTATACAAAAAAAAACACAGCAGGCATTTAAAAAAGGAAGCTAAGCCATGAAAAGTTAAATGATACCAACAAACCTGATACAAAACAGCGGCATTTTTTTTTCAAAAATATTTCATTTAAAAACTTAGTTCGCGTATGTTTTCTGGACCATGTAGTCTTATTTGAGAACAGCACCCTGTAACAGATGAAACTTAAAAAAAAAACAATTTTCGAATACATAGAGCTATTTTGAACACCGTATGCAATTCTTAGAATGCAGATGGCATCTTTGAACTGAAAATTTCAGGAATGTTTTCAACGAAAAAATCGGTTAAAAAACAACGCCAGTGCTATATTAACTTCACAAATTACAAGATGAAGTCAAACCTTTAAGCTCTATGGACAGTAGGTTAAGGGCAGTAGGTTGCGTCTACTGCCCTTTGAAATTCTAGAACAATTTATGATTGGCGCTTTTTTGATAACATGAACCCAACTTGAGAAAACTAGATCAATAGGTAAAGTTTTTATTCCGCTGGGAAAAAAAATAAATTCCACTTTCGAAACAAGAAATCATTCAAGTTTTTTGCGCCACTTCCACGTTCGTATTTAGAGAGCGCTATTTACGTCACTTTCAACAGATGAATTGCAATTGAACTCAAAAAGTGCATTATACCAAAGTGTATGAATATTTTAAGACTTTTTCCTGAAAAAAAAATCGGCAAGATTTATATGAGAGTCTTCAATACGTTTATTACTCTTAAAAAAACCGACATGTTTTCTCAGAAATCTTCAACTTTTGAAATTCGAAGAAAAAAATAGATGGCCTTAGATGTTTAAAAAACCCAATTTGAGAAAACTGCATCAATAGGTCAAACTTAAGTTCCACTGAAAAATCTGATAATTAATTTCCACTTTCGAAACTATAAATCCATCTCCTCGATGTGGCAACAAAACCGACAGAAGAAAAGCAGGCCAAAGACATTCCGACAATTCAATTTTTGCCGGACAATTCAATTTTCATACAAAAAAAAAAGCATCGGTTTAAAAAAAAACAAGGTCCGACCGAGAATTGAACCCCTGACATCTGGGTATACAGGCAATCAAGTTAACTTTAAGCCAAGTGAGAAGGAGTCTCGAAATTACAACGATTGACTAATAAAGCAACTTCACAATTTGCGACAGATTTGTAAGACAGGTTGTTTACGGGGGAAAAGTCTAGTTCCTAATATCAAGATACTTTCTATCGCAAGTGTTCAGAAAACTTATGAAAGCGGGGAAAAAACGAACATATCGGAGCAGAAACCCTTGAAGCCAATAAAAACAAAATGAATTAAAAACTAATTAAACGTTTTCAAGTCCCTTTCCCACAACACACGCGAGTCACAAAAACTTATTTAGCTCATGAAATGACACAAAATGAAGCCACAAGGCCGCTATACTAAAGGCCGAAACCTATTTTAAAAAAAGAAAACAGTTTAGTACCTGGTTGCAACACTTGTGCTATCACTTAAATTACATGTACCCAATAGGAATTATTATCTTCATTAAACTAATGAAACCTGAATTTTTATAAGACAGCCTATTAAATGAGCTTACACTTTCTGTCAGGAGCTCCCATTAACTCAATAACACTTACTACTATCTACAGTATCTGCCGTGATTGTGTTGTTGAGTGAGTTCGAATCCCCGTCTCCCCCTCCCTCCTCATCACTGGAAACATTCCCACTTTTCTTTCCAGGCATTTACATACACATCTGAAACTTACAAGCATTACTATTCTACGTCGATATGACATTTTTGAAACTATTTAAACTGCAGTCGACGCTTTTCAAGTAGTTCGAACAATTTCGCTTCAACAGTCCAAAATGATACTCATGAGGAAGTGTTTCAAAACTCGAAACTAAAAAATATTAACAATTAACAGTAAGATTCGGATCAAAAATTATCACTAGTTTTTAACCCAGCGAAACGTTCTTCGGTGTAGAAAACTAACATTTCTTCAATTACTTTCGATCCGTAAACAAAAGTTAGACAAAAAAAAACATTTTTTTCCCGTAATTAACCAATAACAGCGGTCACAGAATTCTGTGCTAATTTCATGAAGACCGTTCACATAAAGCAAGATGCTAATCAGACCAATTTTCAAGATAATTTGCTCAAATTCATAAGAAAGTGTCTCGCAATTGATGAGCGACAAAACTGCTGGTTTTCAAGAACCTACTCAGCACTGAAACAAATCACGAAGACAAACAAGCTTTTCTGGTCTATAGGCAAGTTGCACAAAAAAGATCTAATCACTGATATCAACTTCGAAAAAAAAAAGAAATTTGAGTTTTCTGATAGTGAAATTTGCTATCCACGAATTGCAAAATGAGCTTATTAAAATATTTAGCATGTAAGAAAACTTCAAAAAAATGTAGTTGTTCCAGTTCCGTATTTCACAGGATTATCTATCAAAATTTCCGCAATCGTTCAGTTCATTGAAGCAGCATAAAGATAAGATAAAAATCAAAATCGAGTTATAAGAGATAAACTATAAAAATACACTTAGAAGCAAAGCGGAGCTTCTCATTACTTGCGAAACAACGCAAGCACAGCATTTCAAGCTAGCGAATAGAAAACAGACGAAAATAACAAAAACGAAAAAATAAAAAAAAAATCAGAAAATACAACCACGCACCACTATTAAATAAGCTTTTAGTATTAAAACATACGAAACTTTGTCATAAAATAATTAGCAATGCAATTAAGTTTAAAACTTTGAAATCTCGCAACAAAAACTATCAAAACTTTTCGAAACAAAAAATCAATCAGATTTTAATTTTAAAACGATATAAAATAAGGTAACTCAGTCAATAGAAAAAAAAACAAAGCAATTGAAGCCAAATAGAGCTTTCAAGTAAAAAAATGACAAAGGAGCAAACCGAGGAAAAGATACAACGTCAGAGCTATTAACTTTACTAATTATAGGAGTAAATCAAAAACACATGCATCTGCGATGAAAGCTGAAAGCACAAGAAAATTCCCCGATGTTGCAACACCAATCCTACAAAACAAAAGTAGACAAACGAAAGTCCCAAAATTCAATTGTTTTGGCGCACAATTTTCAAATTCATACATACTAATGAAAATTAAGGTCCATCCGGAAACTCGAACCCCAGACCGCAGGGTGTAACTTGCTACGGTTCACTAAAATAGCAACTTCACAATTTCTAACAGATTTGTAAGAAAAGTGGTTAACAGGAAAAAGTGTAGTTCACAAAAACAAGAAACTTGCTCTCGCAGGTGCAAATAAATAAAGTAAAAAAATCATTAAATCCCCTAATTTGATAATGCGCATGCGCGATTGGAAAAAAATTGGTGAAAAAGAGAGCCAATATCTTTCGGAATCAAATACAAAAATATACGGACTTAAGAATCTTTGAATTTATAAAACAATTCATGGTTGGCTCTTTTTTGACAAAAATAACCCAATTTGAGAATTTACAATTTTGCTTTTCGATAGCGGAGTCAAATTTTGCTTTTCGAGCCAAACTGGAAAAAAGAGTAAATTTCAGCACGAACAGATTTCTAAAAAAATAAAACCGACCGAATCATTTGGGCACAAACAGTTTCCTGAAAAAATAAAATAAAAAGTGTATTAGAGTCTGAACTACGTCCATTGCATTAATTGACTCTTAAAAATGGGAAAACTTCAGAATTAGCTTCAGTCGACCTTTTTTTTGGTTCACTATCTTTGACCTTGCTGTTCGGCATAACTGCCGTAAACTTAATATATTGCGATAAAACACAAAAAAATCGAACATAGCCAACTGACAGCTGGAAAGGACTAATAAACGCAAGTAATCAGAAAAACACTGACTTTGTTGAACATTCGAATTTCAAAGAAAAATCTGAACCTTCGAATTTCAAAGACAAAATAGATACCATTTAAGCTCCTTGAAGTTCTAGAATGATTTATGATTGGCATTAATTTATAATATTAACCCAACTTGAAAATACTGGATCAATAGATAAAATTTATAAACTTCTGGAAACCAAATTCCACTTTTGATAATAGAAATTGTTCACTTTTTTGCGCCATTTCCACGTTCACATTTTGAGAAAGCTATTTACGTAACTTTCAGCAGATGAATTTCAATTGAAGTCAAATAATGTATAAATACCTAAGTGCGTTCATAAATGCATTAATATTTGCTTCTAATTTTTGACAACACAAAGAACCGCATATATTGGAAATAAGATCTCCATTCTTTGAGTGTACTCTGACAGCACCCAATTACAGGGTTGGTCATTTCAAATTTTGTAAAGTTTTTTATATTAAAGTATTTTGAAAAATCATAAAACTTTGTGAAGTTCTTTGAAAAATTTTAAAATTAGAAAAAAAGTCAGCTCTCGGAAACTAACAGCAATTAAGCAGTCGCTTCGCACGCAAGATTTGCAGCTCTTGAGGTTAATCTCACAGTACACAACTACAGCGTTGTAAACTTCAAATTTAAAAAAAAAACCATGAAAAACGTCATATCTCGAAAACTGCAAAAATTTGATAACTAAAATTTGGAAAGAAGATTTGCAACCCCTGAGACTACTATAGCAGCCCCAACTACAGGGTTAGGAATCTCAATATTTAAATAAATTTTCTGAAAATTTTTTGAAAAAAAAAATCATAAAAAACGTCGTTTCTCGAAAACTACAAGGATTCGAGCAGTAACATTTGGAGGCAAAATTGTATCGCCTGGGAGTCCCCTTAAACAGCCTCACTATAGAGATGAGAACTTTAATTTTTGTGAAATTTTTTTCTGAGTTCTTGAATATTTTTTTAAAATTACCTAAAAAACGTCACATCTTAAAAACTAAGAGCAATTAAGCAGTCCCTTTCCGACACAAAATTTTCAATTTACAACACCTGAAAGTACCCACACAGAGCCTAACTACAAGGGTGGGAATTCCAAATCCTTTGATTTTTTTAAGTTTTCTGAAAAAAAAAAAAAAAATTATAAAACACTTGACATCTAGAAAGCTACAATGATTTGAGCAGCCATAATTAGAGGCAAGAATCGCAATCCTTGCGAGTACTCAGACAGCACCCCACTACAGAGTTGGGATTTTCAAATTTTGTGAATTACTTTTTAATTTGAGTTTTCTCATCATCAAAAATCATACAAAAATCGTCGTATCTCCTAAGCTAAAAAGATTTGGGCATTCATAATTGACAGCCCTGACAGCATCCCACTATTAGGTTGCTGATTTTAAGCTCGGTGAATAAACTGAACTGAAATTGAAAATCGAAGAAAAATTCTAACCATTGCAATATACGACATAGCTTGAACGTGCAAAAAATCTTTCGTTAAGCATTCAAAAATAATAAGTTTAAAAATCTTAAACATGGCGAGATGGTAAAACCCGCATTTAAATATATAATAGATGGATGCTGATCTGTAATTCTTAAAGTATTTTTAAACTTTTTCCAGGAAAAAAAAACAAAAAAATTACCAAGACCTATATAATAGTCTACACTACGTTCGTTCTTAAAAGAGTGGAACATGTCGAAAAAGCTAGATTTATCATAATAAATAGGGCTAGTTTTGGAACAAAACCATGCCGAGACACTAAAATGAGAAAAAATAGTCGGAAGATAATTCATCAAGCAGTAACAAAGCCAAAATACCTTGGCAGAAACGCTTTAAGGCGAAAAAAAAACAAGACTTAAGACTTGTGAAACACTTTATTTGCTCGCCAAATGAACTAATACGAGACAACTAAGCCGATATAATAAGCCGATATAAATGAAGAAAAACAATCGACCGAATCATTTGGGCTGAACAAATTCATAAGCGAAAAAAAAAGAAATATATAGGATGTCAAGATTTAATCACAGAGAAGAAGCGAGCTTCGCACCACATGCGATACAACACAAACATTAAAAAAGCATAAGTCCAAAAAAAGAAATGTTGAGAAAAACTATGTGAACAAAATTTTCGTATGTCTCGATAAAAAACACCTAGGGCCTAGCTAAAACTGGAGTTATGTGTTTGACATTGAATGAAATTGAAGGTACGCGTTTGATTTTGTCCAAAAGCTTACTTGTTTCTCTACTAAAAAAGTAAGAAGTGTGAACAACTATGAGATAACCAAGTTTCCCAAGAAAATACATTACTTTTACAAACAATGAGTCACCGCACTGCTTCTGCAGGAACAAATATCGCAACCAGTTCTTTCAGTTGAACTTGACATCTCAGATGTGATTGAGTAAACTTATAGAAAAATAAAAAAATTTGACTTTTCAGAAGGCGATAATTTTTGGTGTAAAAAACTTTGTGAGTGGCCCTTAATATAGGGGAGCTTGTCACTACCTGTTATCTCCACTGAACCCACATAATCAGATTTCAGAAGTTAGTTTTCGATAAGAGTCAAAAACATATACAACAAGGTCAAAAATCAAAACATTGACTTTCCGAGGGCCATAACTTTATGAGTAAAAAATTTTGGATGACACTAATGCAGGGAGTTTTTTTGAAACGGTTGCATTCTTCGAAATCAAAAAATCAGACTTTTGAGGGGTAGTTTTCGAGAAAACTTCAAAAAAAAAATATGGGACAAACCTCCCCCCACAGACTTTTTGAAGGCTGTGGTCAGAGGGGTCAAGTGAAAAGAGACTATAGGTGACTAGCAGGCACACAGGGGATTGAGCGGTCCTTTCAATTGATATCCATTTTTGAAAATCAGTAGGAACTTCAGAGAAAAATTGAAAATTTTTCATATAAATTTGGAAAAAAATTTCCAAAACGAAAAAGAAAAATTTTCAACAAAACGATTTGTAAACATAAAACCAATTTGAAAAACACAAAGGGGAGTGTTAAAATTGTGTTTCCATTGAAACGGTCCAAAACTAACTAGTTAGGCCAATGAAAAATAGGCCAAAAAAGCGAAACAAAAAAAGAAGGAAATACGAAGTCAAATTAAGTAATATTACAATTCTTGCGAAAAACCAAACACTAAAAGCAACATTAAAGAAAAATTCACACAGCAAAAAAAATAGGTTTTCAAGATGCGACAACCAAGCCGACAACAGATTAGCAGACAAATAATTGGCCGGCAATTTTATTTGAAACAGAAAAAAAAACAGGCCCCGGTAAGACTCATTCACAGGCCCGGGAAAGCATTTAAGTTTGAATTCATTATGAGCCAAGATACAAGTGATTCAATTGATTCCGTTAAGCTAGTCGCTAATTAAAAAAAGTATATGATCCGTTTTGTAAAAGCTTGATAATCGCAAGCGCAAAAAATTACAAACAAACAGCAGAGGTAAATCAGAACACTACAAGCATCTTAAGTGTATATAAAAAAAGTTAAACTCAAAAAAAAAACAGTATAGTTGGTTGGTAAAAACGAAGCGGAAACTAAGCCTACAGAAAAAAATGAAAACAATTTTATTGAGAACGCACCAATAAGGATGCACAGTATGAATAATAGAACAATGAGCGCAAAGAGACGCACACTGCATGCATGCTGAAATCTGTGAACAAAGTTGTTTACGCGGAAAAAACTAGTACCCGATTGAAATACATTTGCTTATCGCAAGGGTAAATAAACTCGGCTTCAATACTATGTCTTTTCCACGCACGAAAAAAAATCGAATCATTAGGTACAATTACATTACACTTGAGACTTTTTTTGAAACCTAGGGAGCGACGTTCAAAATTTTATCAGAGCGCAGTAAAAAAATAGAAGCACTCGGATACTGGAAAAATTCAAATTTTTAACTGGAGATATTGCGCTTATATAGTTGTATCTCGCAAACTATTTTCGGTACAAAAGGCTGATGTTGACCGTTCACATCAGGGGCGGATTTAGGGGGGGGGGAGGGGTTGACGCCCTCTCAGGGATTCGACCCCAACGGCCCCCCTTTGTACTATTTTGAGATTTCCCTCTTTGGCTGATTGACCATAAAATTTTTCATAAAACGCCTTTTTTGGCCTGTTTTTTCTAAATTTGCCTGCGGCGCAGAAAATTTGGTCGAAATGGGTTCTTCATAGTGATTTGGGAGAGCTCAGAAAAACAATTTGGTCGACCTAAAAAAAAGGTCGAAAAAATTTTCGAAACTTTTTTGAAAATCCACCCCCCTCTAGAAAAACCTAGATCCGCCCTTGGTTCATATACCATCGTATTCACTTAATTTTAAAAACTGTTGGCACCACACAACCTGGTACTATACAATTTATTTCAACATTATACATTTGGTAGATTGTTTTATACACCATAGAGGAAAATCAACCAGTGAGCGCCAAAAGAATTACTGTATTCTATATTCATAACTGCTTACTCAATTTGATTTCAGAGAATTTTTGCAGAAACTAATGCAAAACCAACTATGAAAGACCTATTATCATCCCAATTATTCTGAATAACTTTTCAAAAGTGACGAAAACATCAATTTCAGTTACAATTTCTGAATGAAGTGAACACCAAATAACTAATGGAGCAGTATGCACGGCGGTTTAAACTTTCAAAAAGCATTTTCAGGAAGACATGAATGTTTCGAATTTTTGATTAATGTGCGGTTTTATTCACTGCTCATTTTAAAAATTTAACTGCCCGTTACGTATAAACCACCATTCACTCCAAGTACTTCATAATCAAATTCTCTGCCCCAATTATAATCTCATTTAAATCACTTTCACTCGATGCCTCAGCGTAAATCCTGACTATATCTTCAGTGCCTGAAGGTCTGATGAAACATCTCGCTTTCACTTCCGGTTTAGAAGATCGCTCGTTCACACTTTCAATTAATTTGTTCAGTTCAGATTGCATGCCTTCCGGTTCAACTATCGTTCGGTCTGCATTTGTAACCTTAAAACATGTAATATTAAGTCGCCAATTAGATTCAAACATTGTTTTAATTAACATTTTCCATTCTGATCAGACATTAGCAAATTTTCAATAAGCAGAATGAAAAACTGTCGACTATTGTGAATGTCAAATTCAATCGCCCATACAAAGAATTTTAATTCGCTGAAAAACTGTTTAGAAAAATACATTCATACCTTCAATAAATATCTGTCTTTAACTTTCGCCTTCGTTAATTTCGACAACCACTCTTGATAAATTCCACTCCACTCTTTCAAACCCCATTCGAGATAATTCAGGCAAGATACAACCAGTAACAGGTCTGTCAAAGCATCGCCTATTGCAGAATTTGTCATGTCGATCAGAAGTTGAAGAAGTTCGAAATCAGGTGAAGTTTTCTCATTTTGTTGAATGAAATCTTTGAACGCTCTTGAAAAAAAAACACGACCATCTTTACTGATATGAAATTATTTTGAGTTAAATTGCGTGAAAATAGCTCGTAACTTGAATATTTTTTAAATCGTCAGAATTAAACACAAGTTATCAAAAATTTTGTCAAGTGAACTAAATTTTCCCCTTTCTAAGAAGCGGTATCGAGTTTAAATAATGCTTGAAAATTTGATCCGCCAAAAAAAAACGATTTCCAACTAAAAAACAGCCGCCAATTTGTCCGTCTTTAGGCTCACTCTCAGAAACTGCAACGCCCTCAAACAATCATGGCACAATTCGAACACAAGCCTCTTGATTGCTTAGTTATTTCAACTTTACACCTTCAAATTGACTCTAAAATTGTTTTCCAAGATTCGGGTCGCTACTCATCAAATTCTGCTATTTTCTTATCCAGCTATCCTGCTTACAAAACCGTGTACTTTCAGAATTATTGATTTATTTTTTTAATCAGAAATCAAACGGGTCAGCTAGCTATATTAAAACCTAGCAAGCAAGTAAGTTTTCCAACTTTTAACAAAAATGGTCATGTTTTTAGCTTTGCCTTGAAAAAATCACAGTCCCGTGGCCATTCGATTCAAAATAGACTCCAATATCGGACGATTCTTCCGCTGCTCTGTGAAGATGCTTCACCCCTGTTGACGTACACAAGACCTTGACTTTGAGCGTTTTCTGAAGATAGTCTGTTGATGCTCCATTTGCATAGGCAGTTTGAACTGCAGTTATGTGGAACCGATCCGATAATTCTACAAAAAATTAATAAAATCATTACGGCACTGACGAAGCAAATTTTCTCCTCAGCTGCAATACAATGCAAAAATAATCAGAAAACGTCAGACTTTGCCATTTTTGTTGTTATAGGCAGCGTTGCTTGATTTAAATCTATTGATTTAAATCCTAATTTAATGATTTAAATCATAATTTAATCAGAGTTTTTGTTCGATTTAAATCAGAGTTGGGAAAATCAAATTTTCTCATTGGCGTGTATTTCCTGCACAATCACATGCCAACTTTTACCCACCAGTTTTGTAAAATTGGTCTTTTGTATGAAGGCTCTAAACCAAAACTGAAAGTTGATCCACTGTTTCCATAATACCCTTCATTTCAATAAATTTGCTAACACTTTTTTTAGTTTTCTGCGATACTCGGTAGATTCATATTCAAGAATCTTTATGATTCGATTCTTTTGATAAAAAATCAACACAATTTGGAAACTTAAAGCGATGGGTTTTTTATTCAATTAGAAACGTCTGAAAATGAACAAGCGCTTTAAGAACTCCAATTCTTCTTTCACGCTTTTTCCGCTTCTGTTATAGGAGCGAAATTTAACTACCTCTGAGCAAACTATCTTGAAGATAAACTAAAAACACACCAAAAACTGCGCACGAAAAGGAAACACTGATACACTGAGGATTAAAAAGATGATTCCAAATATCCCCTCGCCCATCACACAAGTAAAACACAGAGGCCAAGCAGCGCTTCGCAAACACTAGTGAGAACACGACAAAGCAGCTTAGAAAGAAAAATATAAACAAGCCTCGAATTAGTAAAACTTTGCTACATATTGGCTTCGAAGCTGCAACCATGAGAATTGTAGTCTCACACCCTGCCCCAGGGTGACCACTTCGGGCGTGAAAAAATACAGACTAGCCTGAATACGCAGCGAAAGCTAGTATTCCACAAAAAATTTATTTCGAATGATAGTTTAAATTACAACAAAAAAGAACAAAATGATTATTTCAAGATCACGTTTACAATCTTCGCTGAAATGTCATCTGATCGGGAATTAACTCCCCTTTGTTCGTTTTGGAGTCGCTCTTTCTTCTCCTTGATATTTTGAAGGACTTGTTCGGCTTCTGCCAATTCTTTTTCTGTTTCTGACAGTTCGCGCTTGAGGACTTTTGACGATCTCCGTTGGTAAATACCAATTTGCCGACGCAACTCGTTGCTTTTCACTTTCAATTTGTCTTCCTCTTTCATGCGCTGCTTCTCAGATGCTTTCATCCACGTGTATTCCGTATAAACTCCCTTTCAACATATCAATGACCTCGGAACGGGCGAATGGTGCCAGTGCGTGAACAAGCAAATATCGCGCCTTGGTTCGCCCACAACAAATTTTGGCAAAACGGGAATCTGGAAACATCACCGAATACAAAGAACGCTTTCGGGACACACAGTCACTGCTTCGAAACGAGCCACCATCCAAAGCAATTCGAACAACGTGGTAAAATGTGGCTCTCAACCGCCCTGTGTCGTCGTCAACAGCGGAGACCAGCGAGTTTCGAATAGAAGGCTGTCTAGGAAGCGCCGCTGCAGCATCGATATGGATTTGCCCAGCAATAAAATACAGACCAATGTAAAAAAAAAACAGACTTTTTACAGACCGGTCTGTAATTACAGACCAAGTGGTCACCCTGCCCTGCCCTCTCGGCCACGATCATTTAGCAATCAGCAGCTACACATGCTAAAAAATTGTCAATGCCATGCAGGAGAAGTGGCACCAAATTCAAATAGACTCAATTTTGCATGTAATCAATTGGGAAGCATCAGTCAAATTATGTATAAAAAATGCATTTCAAAAAATCGCGAGATATATTAATTAGAAAAAATTCAGAAATCGGTTTTTCATTATTATGTTGTTTGAAACAAATAGTTTTGTTCGGTTCACAATGCATCAGCTGGCATAACTTATTACAATTTGAAAGTCAAAGCACAAGCTATCAAAAAGCCGTAAAGTGGCCGCAAAAAAGGCACAAATATTTGCAATTAAGTTTAGAAAAAAAGAATAGTCAAAGTATAACACTAACGCTCACTAACGTACGCTAGTGTAAAAAGACAATTTGGGTTTAGTTACGCATTATTCAGACTAATTAGTTTGCCTAAGTTCAATTTTAAATAAATTTTAGACCGGATTGATTCGAAGACGTCGAATCGATCCGTATTAAAAATACACTCATAGCCGAAAAAATAAAACAGCCGAACGAAAAAACAACACGAAGATGATATTACTTTTAAAAAAACTTGAAGAAAAAAGAAAACTACACCTTTAAACACTTCAAGGTCGTATTTCATAATCACCATAGACAGCTTTAAAAAGCAGTGGGCGTCATCATTTAACGAGCGAAAAATAAGACGATAAAAAGTTTGAACATAGCCAACTGACAGTTGGAAAAGAGTAATGAAGGCACGAAAACTGAAAAAAAAAACTTTTTTTTTTTCAAATTAAAAATCTTCAACTTTTAAACTTCCAAGAAAAAAATTGATGGCCTTAAACCTCTTTGAATTGGTAGAACAAATTATGATGTACACTTTTATGTCAAAAATAACTCAATTTGAGAAAACTGGATCAATAAACAAAACTTTTATTTCTCTGGGAATTCCATTTTCGAAGTGAGAAGTCGATCACGTTTTTCGTGACCTTAACAACTTTGCTGTTCGATAGTGGAGTTCGCCTTCCTTCTGAAAAATCAAAAAATTGCGAAAAATCAAAATTGAGCGTGAACAAACTTAAAGACTTTTTCCTGAAAAAAAAAAAAACATAACAAAAAAAAAAATCAGCAAGACATATATAAGAGCACCCTTTACGTTCATTACTCTTAAAAATGATTCTACGACCCAAGTCTGTTGAAAATATAATAGCATAGGACCATACATTGCCTTCGAATCCGTTTAATTTAAATTAAAAAATTTCAAAACCAGACCTAAAAATTATAGAAATTACAGCACTTTCAATTATATTAACAACTGTTCAAATCGAAAAAAACCATGCTTTGAAAAATAAGCCAATAAGAAACCGCACCAGATAATGCATACGGCACTTTAAAAACACGAAACTGAACCGATGGAAACAAGGACGAACGCCCAAAATAGTTAAAATATTTTTTCAGAAATGTATTTGAAGAATCAATACAGGGGTGATACAGCGTTTCGCAAACACAAGGGAAGAGAGAACACGATAAAAAGCATCTCTATATAATGCAATAAAAAAGGTATATATAAGCCTCGAAGTAGTAAAAATACGGCTATGTCTCGGATTCGATCTGTGACCTAGAGATTATGAGTCTCACACACTAACCACGGACGCTTAATAAATCACATGCCACAAAAAAGCAGAACACAGATGCAATTGAATTTCCGCTGCTACAGATAGTGATTAAAGGAAAGTGCCGCTACTTTTAAGAAACTTTTATTTGCGAGTTAGGTTTTAAAAAGTACGTACTAATAAACTGACGCTCGCAAGCTGGCTAGTATAAAAGTATAGTACCCGGTTGCGACACCCTTGCAAGGGTAGACCGAGCAAATATTTGATCAAAAAAATTAAGATATAGAACACAGCGAATATTTAAGCTTTCTTAAACAGTAAACACCTGTCAACTCCAACCTGTTTTCAGCATGAGATTCTGTATTGTATGAACCAATAGACACGTGATGCGATCACCATCCAAAAGAAGGAAAGAATCTTCAGCATCACAACTGTAAAACACAATTCGATCTGCATCTCCGTCGAGTGAGCAGTAGCATTTATTCCTTCAACAGATAATTTGAAATTATACACATATTGTCCGATGAAGTATTTGAAACAGGACATCAATCCAAATTCAGTTCCACAACCATTTATTATCATGTTTTTATCATAAAAAATTGAAAATTTCGAAGAAAAAAACCATTGACCGAACTTGACCATTACCAAACTTGATTGATAATCATTCAGTTTGATAATAAACTACTAACTTTTCCAGCTCGAAAGGCGCTTTCTGATTCGTAATCACAAAATCGGCTCCACAGCCTTCATTCAGCACACCGTCTCCGTTATTTCTGATAGTGACACTCAATTTATCTTTAAGTTTTGAGGCCACTTCGGTCAAAGCAACGCCACCTACGCCATTAGCTACATCAACTGTACATTCTTCAATTGACCGAAGAGGCAATTTTTCAGCAAATTTATTGAAGGCACTGGAAAATTGGTTGTAGTAATTATCCAAATAAAATTTAGATTCTTTTGTCAGATCTGAAGACACAGTGTTGCTATGTAAGACCGCAAAGTGCAATTGCGGAGTAGTCACTAATCCCAAGTCGATAATATTTATTCTGAGAATACTAAAAATGGATAATAAACTGTTTTTGAAATCAAGACTAGATGGCCTCGTATCCATTCCAACGAATATTTTTATTTCCTCAAAGTTGAAGTCTTCATTTCTAAATAAAAACTAAAACTTACAACAGCAAGTGAAAAAGTGGTGTGTTCATAACACTGTTTAGCATCTTAGTTGACACATTTTCTGAGAAGATATTGATCAAAATTAAGATATTGATTGCATTGTTTTTAATTTTTGAAAAGAGAATGAACGCTTTTTCGCTGTTTTCAAGGCAAAAACCATATCTGGCGTAAATGTGAGTTCAATGATCAGTATCGTTAGCCATGATATTAACAAAAATATACTTGAATTCACCTACAAATTGCAGAACAAATCACCGACAAGCACTCTGAGTTGACCTTCAGAACCAGCATTTACAATATTGGTACAAATAACTTCCCATTCAACTGGCAACATCGATCCAGTATGGTCAACAATTTTGAGCCCATTGTCTTTTACTGGATTGTGACTAGCTGTAATCATCAACCCGCATGATTTGCTGAGTTTTAAATCTTCAATTAACTTAGCACAGCGCAATACGGTGACAAAACCGACTCTAGGCACAATTGGCAGCAACTTCTCAGCACGGTCACGAAACCCAGACGTTCCATAACGAAAATTTGTGGAAGTTGTTTGCTGAAACAGGTTTGAAATTAAACTGTTCATCAGAAATTCTAGAAACAAAATTAATACTTTTATTGCAACATGAAAAACTACAAGACTAGTATAAGTCATTCAATCTGTAGGTCAAAAAAAATTATGGTAACCGAAGAAATGTAACAGTCGTCTACTTCGGTCACTTATGAGGCTTAAGAATAATAGGCCCTATAACCATTAGCTCAAGAGTCAGGGACACTATCTCTTGTGTTTTTCTACCTCAAAACGGTCGGAGCCAATTCGGTTCGCTTGCGACATGAGACTAGAACCCGTTACAGCTTAAAGGCAACTACCAAAATATCCCCCCACTCTAGAAAATAAGAACGTCCCCATACTTAGGTCTCAAAATACCCAAAATACGCGAACGCCGTTAAAAACAGGGTCGGAACAATCCCTTAAATTACTTTTTATTAGACAGTGGAACTTTGATCCATTTCAGATGGATCAACCTAAAACTCGCCTTATCTCAACATAACAATCATAAAACACACTCAAGAAAATTAAATTGAAAACTCACATGTCGGCACACTCGAGAATTAGAGGTAACTAAATTAATGAGCAACTCGAGAATTAAGTATGATAACTTGAGATCTTTAATACTAATTAGTTTCAATAAGGGAAATAAGTTTTGACTCTAGAAATGATGTTTTGGTCTGAACCATTGGGACACCCCAGCTGTCCACCTTTCCACTGACGGTTCACTCTAATTCAGCTCGAATAATTGTGTTCTTCTTTCGCAATCGTTTCTTCTCCTATTTTTGCCATTCTGCCAGATGGCACAGCGCAACCTTCCGACGAAGCACGAATCAGAGAGAAAAGGCCTTAACAGCAAAAAAGTGCTTGAAAGGAGGGTCGAAGTATTCTGAAATTTTCTATTTTTAAAATTTCGATTTTCAAGTTGATATTTCTCAGAAATACGAAAAACGGCCATTTTGACCGAAAAAGCTGAGAAAATAAGAACAACGACAAATATTGTGAAAAACAGTCGTACAAGAGACGGAAAATACGAAGTCTCTTATCGTGGCAACAACGCACGATAAGACACTTGTCAGCGGATACTAGTGGAGAAGGAAGCTTCAGTGGGGAAGGAGTATTCCACGGAACCCTCCCGGGACGCAAATTAGGAGAGATAAGAGCGATATCGCTGGAATATTACGGGAGCGGAGGCTTGGTCCCCCAGAGACTGTTTATGTGAAGGGACTGTATAAAACTAACTACATAGCTACTTGGATGTCGTGAAACTTTAATTTAACACCGGTGTATTCGCCCAAATACTACACAGAGACGGAGCGTAGAAAAAGTACCTATTAACGACTGGCAGGCGTCAGTTACCTTAATCCTACTCGTTTTTCACCGTCTCGACCTTGCCAGTTGTGTGACATTCGACCAGAATGTGAAAATTGCAATCTCTGCAGAATTCGGAATTTTAGCAGTAAGCCTTCCGGATTGGTGGTTTTTAAGAACTAAGGGCGTTATTGGAACGTTTAGCCAAACGGTGAAGGCTGGAATATTCTGTATTTTAAAATTTCAAAAATTCGAATGATGACGTCACATTTCTGAGAAATGCTGAAACGGCCATTTTAACAAGAAACGAGAGAAAAAACACAACAACGTTAGTTACGCTGACGAGAACAACGAGAATCGTGATTGAAAAACAGCAACAGATTGCAGAGAACGTTCCGAGTTGCAACTATTGTGCTGCTACAATAGTTGCAAGGCCGTTGCAAACAACGGTGAAGGGTAAGAAACCAGCCTTCCGGATTAGGAAGAAATCAAGATCAACGGGCTTGATTCAGCGGATTCAAGAAACCGGAAGGGTCTCGGGACGGAAAACTTTTATTGACTCATATGAACTTTTAGCATCCTGTCATGTCCTGACTTGAATTTAGTTGATATTTGGATTAGTTTTGACGAGGATGAGGTGCTAAGATTTGGGGGGAAAGGGTTGATCCATCTTCGATGGAGATGATGATTTTTATCTACTGAACAAAAACAATAGTAATATAATAAGTAGTAGCCCTGTTTTTAGGAGTGACCTCGTGGTCTGGGGATACTGAGACCCAGCCTTGAGCTCACTATTTTTGCATGTAATTCAGTTAATTTGAGCGTTCTGGTCGAAGCCGGAGAACAGTAACGTTTTTGTCGACCCGATGTTAGAAAAGACCACCGAAAAGTACTGGCTTGGTAGAGACGGTGAAAAACATGCAAAGCTCTGTTTAGACGCTAGCCAGTCGTCTTAAGACTTAGTTTTGTTATCCGTCGATATGTATCTTCCGGGCGAATGTTACATGTATGTTTTTATGGCGCTCCTGGGTGTTATTCTTTTATAACATCATGACCGGCGGAACCGTTAACGAGCACTCCGCGCCGAGCGGATGCTCACATTAACGCCCTTAATAGGCCTAAACCGCCGGGGCGGAAGGGTAGTTCGGAACGCGGAGGCCTTCCGGATTGCCGTGAATAGTTTTTTAACCTAGTTAAGACCGAAAATTCACGAACCAGGAAGGGTGGGGGGATCGGCCGTCTCCTCGTCCCCTGAGTGGTTGGTGACCAAAAACACTTAAAGATATAAGTAAAACCAAACAAAAAATAGTATAGTACCCAAGAAAAACAAAAAACATAAAAAATAACCGAAAAAACCAAAAACAGTAAAAAAGTAAAAAATCAGTAGAAATCATCCCCCCAGACAAGATGTGATTCAACCCCCCCGTTTGTTGTTGATAGATATATTGTTGTTACAGGCATTTATATCAGTCAGGATCGTTACGATCAATTTTGTGGCCCGTTTGTGAGGCTTGTACTGTAGGGTTATTTGAGCATTTAAGCACGTTAATGATAAATTGCGCTCAATTCGGAAGGGTCCTGGGTGAAGACCGATCCGGCAAGCAGTACAAGGAGCAACAAGAAGGGGCTCAACGACAACAACAATCGACTGTTGGGTATCGTTAACAAGTTTTGTATCCCTTTTGGTACAAAAAGTAAGATAGTAATCTGTGGGGGGCTCGACAGTGCTGCACTGTAGTGACCCTTCACCGAACTGCGAATATCCGAGTTAAGCACCTTAATTCGGATAATAAACAAACCCGGAGGGGTATAGTATTACTAATATTATTACTTATATAGCCTATATTAATAGTCTTATATCGTTTTTCAGTGAAAAACAACGAAAACAGACCGGTTTTTAGGGTCAAAATAGCGATATTTTGATCCCCCCACAAGTCGCGATTTTTGAGATATCGATATTTTTTGAAACGGAAAAAAGCGCTAAGTTAGTGTGTTACATCGTAACTGCACTACTGTAATAAGTAGAACCGGTTAACTTTAGTTCGGAAGTGGTTGGAACTAGTTTGGTACCAAAAACCAAATTTTCCCATTTTTTGATAGTAAGAAACATTATAAAATCAGAAAAATTTTTGAAATCTTTGAGTTAGGACAGTAAAAATAGTTGTTCGGACAACGTCCACTAGTGAATCTACGAGTTTTAAAACCCGCTACCCGAAAGCCTTCCGGGTTGCAGAGAAATCGAACATAACGTGTTTGATTTGGTGGATTCATCAATCCGGAGGGGTCCAGGTAGCATAGTTTTTCGCAAATTTTTTCTACAAAAGCGTTTTAGATCGGGTCTTTTGCATTGAACTAGAAGAGTATAGGCCTTCTGAGCTCAGATCAATAATTTTTAGGTCGAAAGGACCAGATTTGCGGAAAAAGTTAGGCGGAACCTATAAGAGAGAAAATTTTTGAGTTTGGAAAAAAGACGTTTTGGTTAATAACTTTGGAACTACAGAGCATATCGAGTTGATCTTGGTACCAATAGTACAGAGATTAGCTGAGCTTACTGACAGGATCGGGAAATTTCCCGGAAAAACGAGCGAGAAAATTTTTTGAGATTGTTTTTAGCAAATTACACAAATCCGGAGGGGTACACCCTTCACGTTTTATAAATTTTTCTGAAAAACCCTTATACCCCTACCAAAAGTTGATAGCGATTGAACTAAATAACTTAGGACAGTTCTAGACAAAAAGGGAGGGCTGAAGGCACAAGACAACCATAATAGAGTCGAAATTAGGCAAGTGATAAGACCCTTCACCGTTAGTGTGAATTGTCAAATAAGTGCCTTAACTTCAATCCGGAGGGGTCTAGGAAAGGACCCTATACCCTTCCCAGTTAATTCAAACAGCATAAAAGCAACGCAGAACGTATCCGGAGGGGTATAAGCTGAAATTAAGAAAACTACGAAAAGCTACTTTGACAGAGCTAAGGGCTCCCAATCCGGAGGGGTCGAAATTTTTCAAAGTCAGAGGGGTCCGAATCCGGAGGGGTCTACTTTCCACAAAACCGGAGGGGTCCGAATCCGGAGGGGTCTTATAGTTGCTAATTCGGAGGGGTCCAAATCCGGAGGGGTCTACTATTAACTAACTCGGAGGGGTTCCAATCCGGAGGGGTCCATATTCTGACAGTCCGGAAGGGTCCTATTTGTGCCAATCCGGAGGGGTATTATTTTATTAAGGACTTAGGTAAACGAAAGAAAGACTAAAAAGCGAGAGGTATTAGGTTATTAATACACAGGCTAGGTATCAGTGACTGCACTGGTAACTTGCCTTTCAAAAAGAACCAGACTAATACAAAACAGGTCCGAACTCGGATATTCGCGACACTAAGTCTAAATTAAAAAGAGCGTGACTCATTGGTGTGGATTGAAGCATAATACGTTTTTGGGAAAAGTGACTGCCCTGAGGATTTTAGTAGGTCTAGCTCGGGCAGTCCGAAGGCAGATAGGTAACGACGCCCACTTGAGAAAATTACTGCCTTCAAAGTTTTGTCTGTTTGGTGCAGCACCAAGCAGGGAAAGCTTTTTCTTTAAAAGACAGGTTCGACTATTGTACTGCGACCGACTAAGAGTACAAGACACATACGTTTTTTTTATATATACATTCATATTGTGTCAATATATATTTTTGTTTTTGATTTTAAATCAACGTACAGTGTGCTTGATTGGGTAGTGAATACACTATCTTTTAAATTGACTGATAACATCATATTGTGCTAGTTTCCAGATCTTTGGACCGATAATCGGTTAGTGTGAATAAATTTTATACAAACTGTACTCTGACAACATACAGGGATTCTTGGTCACTATTTAATAGAATCTTGTGGAATTTTTGTGTTGTGTCATTATTATTGTTAATAAAACTATAAAGTCTCTAGCAATCGAGTTAATTATAGGTATTAAAAAGTGACAAATAGAAAATGAGTCTAGACAAGTCAAGGATACCAAAACGAGGTAATAATTCTAGAAAATTCATACCTGAAGTGCAAAGAAAAACGATGACCGATCCTTTTGTGGATTG